CTGGCATGCCCTTTGCCTTCATCATACTTCGGGCCATGCCCACCACGGTCTGATTCCGCCTATCCACTACGCCGTTTTGTTGTGGTGAGTACGGCGCAGTGTGATGGCGCATTACCCCCTGGTTTGCACAATACGCGGCGAATTCCACCGATGTGAACTCGCCACCCCGATCCGTCCTCAGCACGCGCAGCCGCTTTCCGGACTCTGCCTCAGCCCGCGCCTGGAATCGCTTGATTGCCTCCGCCGCCTGATCATTACTCGTCAGGAGCTGCAGCCACATGAAACGGCTACAGTCGTCCACGAGCAACAGGAAGTAGCGTCGTCCGCCATGCGTAGCCGGCGTGATCGGCCCGCAAAGGTCGCCGTGGACGAGCTCGAGGACGTTCGCCGCACGATACTTGGCCGCCTTTGGATAAGGCAGCCGCCTCTGCTTCCCTGCCAGGCAGCTATCGCACAGCTCGCCTGCGTGCTCGATTGGCGGGAGCCCGCGCACCATCTTCCTCAGCCGATCGAGTGCGTCGAAGCTCAAATGGCAGAACCGAGCATGCCATAGCCATGGCTCCTCAGTGTGCCGTACTGCCAAGCACACCGGTTGCTCCACTTTCAAGTCGAGGAGGTAGAGGCGGTTCCGGGAATGCTGGACCTTAGCCATCAGCCGTTGTTCTCGGTCCTGGAGCTCTAGCACGCCGCCTTTGACAAGCACCTCGAAGCCGTGCTCGTCCAGTTGGCCCGATGCTGATGATGCTTGAACGCAACTGCGGGATATAGTACACATCCGTCAATGCGCGGTGCTCGCTGTTCTGGCACCGGAAGATGACAGTGCCGCGACCTTGAATTTCCACCTTCGAGCCGTCGCCGAACTTCACTGTCCCCGTCACGCCGTCATCAAGCTCTGAGAAGGCCTCCTTGGAGCCGGTCATGTGGTTGCTAGCGCCAGAGTCTAGGTACCACCTCTACTCCATGCCACCGCCCATTCGTCCAAGGTGGACTTGAGCACTTGACTCGCCGAGGTGAACGGCCTGCAGTGCCTTCCCCTGCTCTGTAGCCGCCGCCTTGACTTTCTCCAACTCTGGCTCGACGTCGTGCAACTTGCAGGTCGTTGCCATGAGAAGAGCTGGCTCCTCGTCGTCCACCTGCGCGAGGTGCGCCTC